CTTATATATATAAGAATAAAAATACTTTTTTAAAAATTGAGTATCTCGGTCTTTCTGCTGGGGTATTGTATCCCTTTCAGCCTGGGTTGGCCTTGGCAGGTAGCGCCGGAGCCAGCCTCTTATGAATGTTAATGATCTAAATTGTGTTACTGGGGGCATAAAAGCACTTTCTTTCAATTTTTTAAAAAGGAAAACAACTTAACTGTGAAAACTTCGGTCCACTGCAGCATCATATCGGTTCTTACACTTAAATACAACACAGATGCAAGGCATTTTTACTAATTGACTTGCCTAATCTCAAGGACCTTGGAATAAAACCTTCTTTCTTATCTAGATTTCAGTGCGCGAGTCGAGCATTCGCTCAGCGCAGTAGCCCACGGTTCCGCTGCGAGAGAGGGCTCCTATCAGGCGTGCGGTGCCGCCCACAGAGCATCCTCCATTACTTTTAATCTCCTTGGTTAAAATCCACATCCGGTATAAACAATGCAATGGCATCATTCTCGTCATTTGCGCACAAGTCGTCGGGCAAGGACATTCTTTTTGCAAACATGTTAACCGACGTTAGGAGATGATGAAGTCTTCACGGCGCATAGCCCAGCTTATGATTGTTATTGTTTTGAAAATTTCACGTGGTTGTATTTAGTCTTCCAAGATGGAGTCAAGGAACACGCAAAAGTCCCATTCGACGTACTTCACGTCGTTACGCAAACATGTGAGATTAGAACACATGGCTGCTGGGGTGAGCGGGGGTGTGGTTTCATCCCTTGTGCTTCATCCTCTGGATCTGATCAAAGTTAGATTTCAAGGTAGGTCCCCACCGGGCCCACCACCCTGTCTGGATTTCAGACCACCGTCTTTATATTTATGAGTCGACTGCCATTTCCCCAAGAAAGTGGCTATTCTCATCCGGGGTGAGAATAGAAAAACGATCTACCTCTCACCCCGGGTGAGACTTACCAGAGACGGCAGCGTAGGCTATTCTCACCCGGTGCGAAACAAGACCTGCTTTTCCTCATTTTGGAATACTGTCTATCGGTGTGGATGATCAAATTGATAAAGAAAGTGGCTATTCTCACCCGCCGGAAGTTCTCGCAAGATCAACTCCTCCCCTCTTCTCTCTCTCTCTGTCTCTTTCTGAATACTGTCTATCGGTGTTGACGATCAAATTGACCAAAACAAAGTTAAAAAATGATGTTAAAACACAAAAGTAATTTAATTTGGTTGTCTACAAAGATGCTACGGCTATTTATCTTTTCGAATCGAGCCGAACTACGCGGGTCGCCATTTTGTTTTGGCTGGAAATTCTCGCGCTACTCCTCTCTCTCTTTCTCTCTCTCTCTCCACTGCCCACAGACAAAATTGTACGCTTTTAGTAGGCTACAGTTGTAATGGAACGTTTGTTCACGGCACAGAATTCTACAATTTTTCTGTTATCACAGTGTAGAATCGAAGTGGCTAGCCGTACTTTTAAGTAAGTACGGCTAGACTGAGAGTCTAGCCGTACTTAAGTACGGCTAGACTGCAAGTCTAGCCGTACTTAGATTTAGGTTTGGCCCTATCGACTCAAGCCTGTTAAGTACACAGGTCTCATTAGATCTAGATCTAGTAATTATTCAGGTTCAAATACATGCAAGTCAGTAAGGCACCTTTTTGTTTTGTCTGAAATACAAATACTTTAGGCATTGCAAACTAAAAATTTCATTTACAATTTAGCCATCAATATTAAGTACGGCTAGCCTGACAGTCTAGCCGTCCTTAAGTACGGCTAGCCTGGCTGTCTACCCGTACTTAAGTACAGCTAGACTGCCAGTCTAGCCGTACTTATCTTCTCTTAGGACCTATTAACATTAGAAAACAGGAGGTTTAAAATACATGCACTGTCATTTAGGCACCTGGTTTCGTCTCAAATACAAATACTTTAGGTACTGCACACTAAAAAAGTATATTTACAATTCAGTAGGCCTATTTTTTGTTAAATGGTCAGTCTAGCCATCATATTAAGAATAAGTACGGCTAGACTGCGAGTCTAGCCGTACTTAAGTACGGCTAGACTGCCAGTCTAGCCGTCATTAAGTACGGCTAGCCTCTTCCGTGTAGAATTCTGTGGTTTAGGGTGAATGCAAAATTTGGTGAACGCGCACCGGGTGAGAATAGCCACAAGACTCGCCTGCACTATTCTCACTCCGGGTGAGAATAGAGGTGGCCATTTGCCATTGATAAAAGCCAAGAAAAAATTACGTTATAGCACAAAGGCATAGTCACTTCGCTAATCTAGTTTTTATCTTATATATGATGAATTTGAGGCCGGCCTGAAAAGTTAGAGCGCTTCTAATAAATGTTTATTTGTCAAGAGGTCATCAGAAGCAATTAAAGATGGCTCGTTGGCTAGCAATGCCAATCGGGCTTTCCCGCGAAGCGAAAATTTGGTCCCCGTTTACGGGCGATTTTGCGGACCCGGCCGAAGCGTAGGTGACTAACTTTGTCAACCTCGGTCTGCTCTATTTCCGAACCAATCCAAATGAAACTCAGTGCAGCAACCAATCAGAAAATAGGGCAAACTAATGATATGTGGACGTTGAAGTTCATACACATAAATTAACCTATACTACATTTGGGGTCGGGAACACTTTCGTATCGTGTACACTGAAAACTATAAGTATAAGGAGTTTGAATTTCAACGCCGAGATGGTAATAGATCTATCTATCCTCTATAGTGTGCTCAAATTTGAACGTTCTGTGTCAAGTAGTTGTTTAAGTTTAGACCCGATCATAAATGCACGACTACCCCCCTATCCAAAGCGGCTTTGCACAGAGACCGGCCATTTTCCCCTGCGAAGTGATTATTCGGACTCGAGTCCGAATATATGAAAAACTGTTATTCGGACTCTGATTCTTGTCCAGCATGACATCACTTCCGACTTCCTGTGACTCGTGAATCCGGCTTCCTGTCCTGCCTCACTCGTGACTCGCCTCAGGCTGGGTAGAGACCGGGATCACTTCGGGTAAAAAGGAGTTTTGTGCAGGAGCCGAGTTTTAATCTTATGATGAATTTGAGGCCGGCCTGAAAAGTTATAGCGCTTCTAATAAATGTTTATTTATCAAGAGGTCATCAGAAGCAATTAAAGATGGCTCGTTAGCATGTGTCGGGGTCGGATGGGCGGCCTGCACACGTGTGGCTGTGTGCGTGTCGTGGAGGGTGGTGGGGGGCACTATTGGTCCGGGCTTTGAACGTCGCATAAGTGTCGGTCTTTTTCCCCCTGGCAACTTATCATTATTACAATAATAAGCTAGTCTTGACGTAGATCTACGTAATGAATACGTAATGAATTGTGCGCTGGTCTCTATGGAATCAAAAGTTGCCGTATGCTCAGCTCTACACAGCAACACAACTTTTTCTTGGTAAACAATCGTTATGACACAGGCTTGTGTATTTGAACGAATCGGTCTTTTAAAAAAAATTTTTACACAGCTCATAATATGCCAGGTGGTCTGCTAATCTTCAATTTTACCTTTTTCTACAACAATGAAAGTGGGAAACGTGGGGGGGGGGGGGGAGGCGTATCAATGAGGCGGCGGGCATTGGATCGGAAGATAAGGTGTGGGGAAAACTAAAAAATGGCGGAAAATTGGAAGCACTGAACGTTAGATCTATAGAACGAAGACACTTCCTTTTTTTCCGGACCCGAGTCCGAATAACGACGGCCTTTCCCCTCACTCTCGTGGCAAATGTATGTGACCTACAAATCCCCGCATGACTATTCCGGGCCCGTTCATTGGTCACTTGAAATAGGGCAATGACGGGCACGCGCATCCGGTTGTTTTTCTCTCTATTCCCCTGTAACATCGCAATGGGGGTATTTCGAGGCGAGGTATCTCGTCTCGTGGTGTTCGCGTCTTAACGGGGAAAAAGAATTTTTTATTGTACGGCATGCTAGATGGAATTAACTTATCTTTTACGGTTGGCATGGTCTAAAGTCATCATAAAAAGCTTTGCAATTATTTAGTCACGCTGCCGGCATATATTCTTAAAGATCCCATGTTGTGATACGATGCTATAAATAAAATGGACTCATCCCGACACCCCTTTTTCGCAAAATCGTAATATGTACACCACAATTTTAATTATAACAAAATAGCTACGAAATTGGTAGTAAATCTGACTGCAGAAATGATTTCTACACTCAAAAACACATCGGGTAGCCAAGTTTCTCTCGAACACTCCGATTAGTTACCGAGATATCGTCGATTTTCTTACAGAATCTGCTACTGCATGGTCCACTTTTTTTGGAGTATTTTCCTATATATGTGGGTCATCTATATTTTGCCGACCTTTACAACCCCATAACTTTTTTATTTATGAACCGATTCTCAAAATTCAAGAAGCATAATTCTTAGAGTTGAAAAATCTTTCTTAGGTACCCCCCCAAAAAGGGCAAAAGTGAAAATTTAAATTTTCATTGGCATTGCTACGTTAGTGTTAGCGTGTGTCGGGGTCGGATGGGCGGCCTGCACACGTATGGCTGTGTGTGCGTGTCGGGGAAGGGGGGGGGGGCGCTATCGGTCCGGGCGTTGAACGTCGCATACGCGTCAGTCCCCACCCCCCGGCAACTGATCATTATTACAATAATAAGCTAGTCTTGACGTAGATCTACGCAATAAATTGTGCGCTGGTCTATGGAATCAAAAGTTGCCGTATGCTTGGCTCTACACAGCAAAACAACTTTTTCTTGGTAAACAATCGAGATGACACAGGCTTTTGTGTGTATTTGAACGAATCAGTCTTTTTTTTTCGCGGCTATTTTTACGGCGATCCTCGAAAAGCGACCCTACTCCGCCTCTCATGTACGCGACATGCCTCAATGTATTAGATTTATGCCTATAGGGGCCGTTCAAAATATAAACTTACACCTCAGAGGGGAAAGGGTGTCTTTGGCTTTTCTGTAAGAAAAGTGTAAGATTGGGTGGGGAGGTGAGGTGAACATTTTGCTCATGACTGGGAAGAAAAGGTGTAAAAGAAAAAGTGGATAAATGATAAATGCCAGTAACAAGACCCAGATCTGCATGATCACTGCAGATCCCCGTTGTTGTTTTTTTGTTTTGTTTTGTTTTTTTGAGAGGGGGGGGGTTACAAATAATTTTGAAATTATGATGAAAGGTGGACATCTAATTTCTTAATGTTTCTTTGTAACTTTGCAACTGTTTTGTTGATCTTTTAGTGTCTTGATGTCTTTTATTTGTAAGGCACGTACCTATTGCATTGACAAGAGTCTCAATGAATGTCTTCCACATATATGCGTTCTTTCTAGTTCATATGGTTTGATTAAATTGTATTTCAACTTAACTGAAAGGCCGTCGTTATTCGGACTCGAGTCTGAATATGAAAAAATGTTATTCGGACTCGGGTCCGGAAAAAAGGAAGTGTCTTCGTTCTATAGATCTAACGTTCAGTGCTTCCAATTTTCCGCCATTTTTTAGTTTCCCCCACACCTTATCTTATCTGCCGATCCAATGCCCACCGCCTCATTGAAGATTAGCAGACCACCTGGCACCTGCATATTATGAGCTGTGTGTAAAAAAAAAAAAAAAAGACCGATTCGTTCAAATACACAAGCCTGTGTCATATCGGTTGTTTACCAAGAAAAAGTTGTGTTGCTGTGTAGAGCTGAGCATACGGCAACTTTTGATTCCATAGACCATAGATTCATTACGTAGATCAACGTCAAGACTAGCTTATTAAGTAATAATGATCAGTTGCCGGGGGGAAAAAGACTGACGCGTATGCGACGTTCAAAGCCCGGACCGATAGTGCCCCCCCCCACCACCCTCCCCGACACACACACAGCCACACGTGTGCAGGCCACCCATCCGACCCCGACACACGCTAACGAGCCATCTTTAATTGCTTCTGATGACCTCTTGACAAATAAACATTTATTAGAAGCACTATAACTTTTCAGGCCGGCCTCAAATTCATCAGAAGATAAAAACTCGACTCCTGCACAAAACGCCTTTTTGCCCGAAGCGATCCCGGTCTCTACCCAGCCTGAGGCGAGTCACGAGTGAGGCAGGACAGGAAGCCGGATTCACGAGTCACAGGAAGTCGGAAGTGATGTTATGCTGGACAAGAATCAGAGTCTGAATAACATTTTTTCATATTCGGACTCGAGTCCGAATAATCACAGTGTAACTGAAATGTTCTTTTTACGGCGGTCACAAACTGACAGAACACGTTTTTCAGTCTTATAAATTCCGTCTTGGCTTAGGCCTTGTAGGCTACTACCTTATTTGTTATTTTATACTACATTTTACTAAATGACTAAACTAATGTAACATACTTTGAGCAGGTTAAAACCGAGAGTAAGGCACTATAA